TGCATCTGTCTCGACTCGCCCAAAAAACTAAAAACACCACCAACAAGAAATACCAAAGCATGCAACAAAAATACAAAAACAAGGCACCAGAAGTGAAAAAGTGAAATACATCTACAGCAACATGGTCTTATAAGCAGAGTGGTTCTGTTGGCAATCAGGTACTTTAAGCAATGTTACCAGTGTGGCTCAGTTAGCAGTGAGGGACTTTTAGCAGCATACTATTAGCAGTGTGGTTCTGTTAGCGGCGTGGTATTGTTAGCAGCGTTAGCAGGTCTTGTTAGCAGGTCCCGTTAGCAACATGATGATAATAACAACTGCAGCAACTGCCCTCCCAGACTGCCTTCCCGAACCGTGTCCGGCATAGTTTGATCCATGTAGGTAGATGAAGGCTCATGGAGATGGCCGCCATGACAGGCCGGAGCCTGAGCCCGAGGCAGGAAGGGTGCCGGGAACTGAACCACGATGGCAAGGCAGTGACACACAAAACTCCAAAAGTGCCTCACAGTCATACCCATAACGTGGGTGTGCAGTGTAGGCACATAAAAGTTGAAACAAAACCAACAGGAACAAAAAAAGAGCAAATCAAAGCAGAGCTCCCGTCAGTGCGGCCATACTGCGGCGCACGTGACGTCTCTCTATATACAACGTATCCAACTCATTTGTCCCAGTGTTTCTATATCAATATTTGTCTTTTTTTTTTTTTTTTGCCCACCCTCTCCATATTCGCGCTTTCTCTTTTCAGTCAACTACACCCTACCTTCTCACAGCCTGAAACATATGGGTGCATGCACACACACACATACATATACTGTACATACATCTGCACACAAACCCACATACAGCTGGGGGCAAGGGCTAATTGAGTGGTGCCTTGGGTGTTCTAGTTATGTGAGCCTCTCAGGAGTGGTCAAACACATCACAAATACTCACGGCCTGACACGCACATATCTTGAGTTGAAGCATGGTTCTATTTTTCTCCTTAAAATAAATGAGCTCTTGCTAAAAGAGACGGAGGATATAGTCGTGCGCTCTGTCTGCAACAGTATGCCGATATGAGATGTACTGTATGTGCCTATAAATAGCTTCACCTTCCTTTCTGTCTTTACTATTCATTGTCCCCTTCCCCATCAAGTGGTAAGGGAATAGCTGCTCCTAAAGGGAGCAAGCAAATAGATAGTTAAAGAAGAGAAGAGGGCAGAAGAATGCACGAATAAGCAAAACGAATACAAACCCAATGCTGAAAAAGTTAGAACGTTGTGTAATATAATAAAGCATGTTGCAATAATTCACAAGAAATTGCACTTTTAAAAAAAGTAGTTTTGATTTAATGAGAGCAACACATCTAAAAAAAAAAATGTGTAAACAGGGACACGTTTACCTCTGTGAAGCACTTCTCCTAACAACAGGAGCTGAGGAGACCAGCTGCTGTAAGTTTAAGAGAAAAACCATGTCCCGTTCTTATCTGATGTCAAATTTTAGCTGTTCAACACTCTTGAGTCTTCTTTGCCACATTTTTTGTTTCACGCTACGCCAAATGTTTTCAATTAGTAGGAGGTCTGGTCTGAAGGCAGGTCAGGTCTCTTCTACTTCCAAGTCATGGTGGTGTAATGGATGCCGTGTGCTGTTCGGCTATAAAATATGCAAAACCTTCCCTGAAAGAAACATCAGGATGGGAGCATATGTTGTTCTAAAACCTGTATGTTATGCCTTTCCAGATGTGTAAAGTCATGCCACAGACACAAATGCACCCCCATACCATCAGAGAGGCAGGTTTTTGAACCAGGCATTGATTACAGGCCAACTGGTCCACCAGCTCTTTAGTACAGAGGATGCGGCTCTCGTTGGTTTCCAAAACGAATATCGCATTTTGATTTGTCTGACCACAAAACAGTTTTTTTTCTTTTTGCCTCAGTCAACCTGATGGGACTGATGTTGCCAAACAATGTAATTAGTTGCACAATGCTCCTCTAATTGTGTCCTATTCACACCACTTACCTTTACAGCCTTTTGTTGCTGCCATTTAACTCAAAGTACATTTTTTGTCCCTAAAATGATACAGGTTCTTAGTTTGAACATTTTCTGTTAACTATTTTCCAATGTAAATAAGATATGAGTTTATGAAATTAGCAAATCATCACATTACAGTGTTATTGATCTTTTATACGATGTCTCAGCTTTGTTGGAATTGGGGATTGTACTTAAAGGGTTCTTGCTCCTTTTTTTTTTTCTTCTGCTCTCTTATTCTGTCATTTATCTTTGTCACACAGTCATAGACTTTCTTTTACACTTTTCTTCTGCTTGTGAGAAAAGACCGAGACAAATGCATTAAAATGTGAACTAGAGTGTTAGACGCACAAACAGTGACGTCACATTAACGCTCACTAAGTGTCCGGGCGCTCTGTCACGCTCTGCCACTTTAGTCAAGCCTATGTCTGCGTGTTTGTTTTGTTTGTCCGCGTGGGAGACGTGTTACCAGAAAATACACTTAGCAGAACATATTTAACTGAGTCATAACGATGGCTCGTGGGTGTACGTGTGTCTTTTTGTGTGTAAACAGGCAGCAGTGGCAACGAAAGGCGAGACTGCAGCCCATTTGAGCTACTGTTGCTTTGACTCACTTACTGACAGTAAATTTTGATTATATCTACATCTTATGTTTTTATTTTGACCCCTAATGTGCAAAAAGGCACTGACCTTAATTTTTACTTAAAGCAATAGTTCAGATCTTTTGAAGTGGGCTCGTGACAAAGATATAAATAGTTGATGTCTTACCTGTTGTAGATCATCTGGCGAGTTGACTGCATAGCATTTTGAGCTAACCTAATATTACCAATTTGTTCACATTTACTGGTCTAAACATTAGCTTCTATTTAATAGTTAAAATTAGTTTAGCAAAAAAAAGATTAAGCTAATTTATTGAAGCTATGTTTATTAATTTGCTTAAACGATTAGATGTTGCAAATGGAATCTGTTACAATGAGTCAAGGAATCATATTTTACAGTGAAGAGTTATCAGCAACTCAGTCATTAATCTTTGTACAGAACCCTGCTTACAAAGATCTGAACTATGCCTTTAATATGCGACTGTTTTATCCATATGTTACTCATAAACATGAAAATGAAGAACGTTCTTATTTTTAAATGTTTGATAAGCTCATCTGAGCTGATAAATTCTCAGTGTAGAATCCCTTTTAGGTCATACCAGTATTTATTATGATCCATGTGTCATGAAGACTCCACCTTGACTTTTATGCTTTTTTTGCATCTTTCACTTTTATAGTCTTGTATGTGTCTTGTCTACACTCTAATGATTTTTAAACTGATTAATTTTTTTCAGGTTATAAAAAAGAAATTCCTCGTTCAAATGACTCGTCAAAACACAAATCAGCAAAAACGCCTATATTTATAGCATCAAAATAAAGAGAAATAACATTCTTACTTTAAAATTTTCCCTAAAACATTTCAGATTTTATTTTCTTCTTTGACATAATTTACAATTTCCTCTCAGTTATTAACATTTCAACACAATCGAAGTTTAATGGTGACAGAATGAGAGCGACAGATCGAGTAAAAACAGTAGAAATGCTATACTGTTGTTGTTTTCTTTTTTAAAGTGCAAAGTAATATGGAGTATGTTCATAACAGGCTGCTTAGTCATTGTTTGCTAAACAATTTGTACAGTAGTCCCTCGTTTATCACTGGTTTTAGAGGACCACGTCCCCGCGCTAAGTGAAAAACCGTGAAAACAGTAGTCCAAGTTCAAGTTTCACTCCCAATCTCCCACCTTCTGTGTAAATAAATAATTTTAATTTAAATACTGCAATATTGTTTATTTAAAATATTACAGTATTTAAATTTAAATTGTAGAGAAGAGAAGAGCAGCAGGACATCAAAGGGTTCATGCAGCAGTAGCACGGAGAAGAAATGTACTTCTTGATCACTTGCCCTGAAACAACTGAACAAAGAAGTTTTAAAACAAGTAAAAAAGTAACTTTTAACACTTTCATATTTTGTGATTATGATGATTTTACCATGTGACATACTTTGAATTTTAAGTTGGAAGACAAAGGTTGATCAGTGCATCTGGACAGCAAAGGGTTAACCCTTCACGAAGCCGTTGCAGCACAGAGGAGAAATGTGGGCGTGGCAGAGAGCCGCAGGTGGCAGAGAGCGGAGATCATGACAGGCTACAGAGGGAGCTTCTCCCTGCACCTGTGGGCTGCACAAAGGTGCAGCAGGTTCTAAATCATTTAAAATAATTCATTTTAAATAAACAATCCATGCCGCTCGTGTGGCTTATCCATCAATCAGCCACTTGTGTGTCATGTCCACTCTTACTTTGAAAAAACGCAAAACAGGGAGTCTGTGAAAATCGAACCGCAAAATAGCAAAGGACTACTGTATCTCAAGTCCATATAAATCCTCCGAAAAACTTGTATATTTTATTTATTTTATAGAAAAATCTTTGTTTTTACTCCAAATATGGTTTTCATGTGAACAAGACGTGCGTATACAGCACTTAATCTTCGTTTTAAAAATTATCCAGAGCAGTGGAGACAAGAACTTCTTCTTTGCATATAAATGAAACACATTTTAAAATGATTGTAAAACTGATATATGATTTATTTATTATTTTGCAAACAGCTTTTTTTTTATTTTTTATATTCACTTAGATTTACATTTTGGTCACATTTAATTCTACAGTACAAAAGTGGTCTTATATGCCCTCAAGACTACAGTACATCAAATCAAACCCTCCACTACAGACTAATATTTACTGCATATCAAGAAACTACAGTGGCTGCATTCACCTAAATAATCACCTGGTGCAATTTAACACAACTTGTGTGTTACCATGTTGTTTATGAAGAGTACTCACAAGTAAGTCTTACAAATGCCATGGTTATGTAAAAATATATACATGTATAAAGATATATACTTTTCATTGTGTATTAAAACAAAAATCAGATGAGATATGTTCCTTAACTGCTCCTGCTCACTCCGTTTGAGTGGATGATTCTTGCCACCATCATTGCCAACTGTATCGTCCTGGCTCTGGAGCAACATTTACCAGATGGAGACAAGACGCCGCTGTCTGAACGGCTGGTGAGTTCAACTGAAAACAGGTCTGCAGCAGATTAACGTGATTAAATGTTGGGTTTTTTAAAGCAAACTATCATCCTCTTCCTTGATTCCTCCTTCTTTCATTTCACTCAGGATGATACAGAGCCATATTTCATTGGGATCTTCTGCTTTGAGTCTGGAATAAAGATCCTGGCACTTGGTTTTGCCTTCCACAAGAACTCCTACCTGAGAAATGGATGGAACGTCATGGACTTTGTGGTGGTGCTCACAGGGTAGGTGGCAAACATGCACGACATGACCACAGTGTAGATGCATGCTGTTGCAGCTTCATTCGTCAAGCATTTACTAAAGCTTTAAGGTTTCTTCGTCATGTGTTTTGCATTTGTTTGAGTGTGCGCGCGTGTGCTTTCCCCGCTCCTCTGCCCTGAAGACCCCATTCTGGGCGAGGCGGCAGTCAGATCACAGAGCTGAGCTGCAGGCAGCCAGCCGCCCATGTGGTGAACAAATGTCACCTCGGTGTTCGCTGAGACAAGAGGGAGTGGGAGACACAGGTGGAGCAGACTTCATAAAAGATGACACATGTTGCCCACCAAGGAGAGGCAGCGCAGATGAGGGGGGGAAACAAGAGGAGCGAGCCAAATAAAATAACAGGAGGGAAATAAAACATCTGATATAGCTCATATGTAAAGACCAGTGGCTAAAACGTGAGAAGATCCACAGATAAATGTTCAATATTTAAATATAATTCGGCTGCCATCACTTTTAATTTACATTATAGACGGGATAAACAATGAGTGTGATTGACAGAAATACAAGGAGGGGGTTGATTTTACAGACAGTGACTTAAAAATTGGTTTTGTAGCAACTGAGACTAATCTCTAACACATATTTTGAGTGCTAATGCTTAAATGTTACCGGTAACTTACGGTGTCTGTCTGTTAGCAAAAAATATTATCATCTACTGGACAGATTTACTTGAAACCTACAGAAAATAATCACTGGATTTAAATCTAGAATTAATTACATTTTGGAGCCAACCAAATTTAAGATGGCTGCCACAGCCAACTAACCTTAATAAACACAAAAACTGCTCTAATTCTGTCCATTTTGCATACGTTGTGTTCAAATATAGTGTGGTTGTAGCTGGGAGTCATTTAAAACACATGGTCAAAAACATGTATTGCTTTTAAAACACCTATTGCACAAGAGCTTTGTTTAAAATGTAAGACATCTGGTCAACCCTGTTTGTCTGTTAGTAAAATATCTCATGAACCACTGGGCAGATTTTAATGAAATGTTCAGAAAGCAAGGATTGAAAGTACATCTACAACTAATTAACTTTTGGAGTCAGTCCAATTCAAGATGGTCACTACAGCTAAATGATATTAGTCAACACAAAAATACCTGTAACATTGTCACATTTGGATTTGAAATGTTTTAAACTATCAGAACCCAGGTTTTGTCTGTTACTATCAAAAAGCCATTAATGATACATGCACGGTTTTAGTATAAGCCTTTGTGCTACAGTTACTTGCGACTACTGTGTGGAGTGTGGGTAAGTCTATATTTTTGTATGCATGTGAGGATTTCATGAGTCACATAAAACTTGTGTGCAGTTTGCTGACAGAGCATCAGTAGAGGGGGTGATTGCACCCCTCCCCCCTTCTGCCCACCATTTTTATCTCCTGCTCGCACACAGACTCATAAACACAAACACATGCACTGAGAGACTGCTCAGCCAGGCGGTAAGTTGCTCTGCTTTAATAAACGAGCAATCATGACACCAAACTCCTCTCGGCATGATGCAGCAGAGTGACTGCAAGAGAGGTGAGAAGACCAGTGTCAGAAGAAAGACAGCAGGGAGTGAGGAGGAGGAGGGAGGAGGAAGAGGAAGACATTATATTTATTTTCAAAGGAACAAGTTGTGAATATAAAGACGCTACCTTCTTCCAGTTTTCAAATCTCACTCTTGTAACAAAGCTATGGTGTCTGCTAGTCTGATGCTAATCATTGCTTCTTAACCCATTTTTTCTTCTTAAAATGACATCAACTGAAACTAGAGAAAATGCATTTCCTGCAAAAATGCAGTGCAAATGCTTATTGCTGAATAACTTGCTGAAAAATAGCTGAAATTAGCTACAAATGTGCTGAAATCTAGCTGAAATGGAAGAACAAGCCTCTAATAGCAGAATAAAGAAGAAATAACACATATTTGCTGAATTAGGTTTAAAAAAGCAGAAATTAGCCCCAAAATTAGGAAATTAGCTAAAAAGGTGAAATTAGCAAACAATAGCTGAAAAGTAGCTGAAAAGGCAGAAAGAAGCTTGAACTAAAAATAAGGAAAGAAGACACTGAAATGAGCTAAAAAAAAATGTTGAATTAGCTGAAAAAGCTAAAATTAGCACAAAACAGCCAACTAGTAGCTGAAATAGCAGAAAAGCTGAAACTTGCAGAAATACGCCGAAAGGAGCATAACAAGCTGAAATTAAAAAGTTACCAGTAAATAGGCTGAAAATCGCAGAAAATACCACAAAAATTTGAATTTATCTGCAAAGAGCCAAAATTAGTTAAGAAATGCTAAAAAAGTTAGCTGAAAAGGTAGAACAAGCTTAAAATAGCAGAAGTGGAGAGAGCCAATTTTGCCCATTTAGGCTGAAAGAAGCAGAAATGAGTACAACAAAGTAGAAATTCTCTGGAAAAAGCATGGACATTTTTTTGGTATCTGGAAAAAGATTACCCCCCCACCCCCCTCCCCCCCCCAAAAAAAAACAAAACAACAACAACTGAAAAGTAGCACAAAATCAGAAATAAGTGTAAATTACCAGAAGGAAAAGGAGAGCGCACATTTTTGCTGACTATGCTGAAAAAAGTTGAAAAGAGTGCAAAAAATGTGGAATTAACTGAAAAAGTTCAAATTCGCACGAGAACAGCTAAATAGTAGCTGAAATAGCAGAAAATGCCGAAACTTGCAGAAATAAGGTAAAAGTAGCAGAACAAGCTGAAATAAGCAGAAAGAAGTTAGAAGAAGCACAAAAAATGTTGTAGTTAGCTGAAAGAATCTTAAAGCACCACAACTAGCTGAAAAAAAAAAACCCAGTGGAAATCAGATAAAACCAGCTGAAAAAAAGTTTACATTTGCACAAGGAAGCTGAAAAAAGCTGAACCGGAACAAAATGTGAAAGGAGCAGCAAAAGGTTGTAAACAGATGTAAACATTCGAAGGATGTCAAATGAGCTTAAATTATTTCCTATGAGGAAAGAAATGTCAGAAAAAGCTAAATAGTAAAAAAAAAAAAAAAAAAAAAAATCTCAAGTTGCACCAATACTAAAAGTCATAGCACCTTTTTCCTGAATGAGCTGAATGTTTTGATATATGACTTGTTGAAATAGCACAAAAATTGTGGAACGAGAAAGATGCTGAAAAACATATAGAAGAAAAATGGATCACAATAGTGTGAATTCTTCATAAGCACTCACACAATAAAGTCATTTATATGATAATTTTATGATTGAAGGTATGGTATATATAAAAAAAAAGAACAGTCTAAAATCAGTCTAAAATCAGTCTAAAACAGTCTGGTAAGTTCAAAATACACCCCATCACTCTGGGTACCAACAGACAAGCGATAACAATGTGTTGACATTTCCATTTATTTATAAAAAAAAAAAAATTACCAACCAAGAAACAAATTTCAAAAAAAATTTCAAATGTAACTTAACCAGCACTAACGCCTAAATCCAGCGAGTAAAGTCCAACTTAACATTGTACAGAAATTGTTGTTCAGTGCAAACATCCATAAAAATAATCAAAGGGATAGTTCAGATTTTTAAAAGTGGGCTTCTGTTGAAAGGTTTTGAACAATCACTATCTTACCTGTTATAGACAGACAACTCATTGAATGACTTCAGTTTGAAGACAGTTTTATTTAAACAAACCCTTACACCATAAACTATTTCACCTTAGATTTGAAATCCAACATAAATAATATTCCCTCTGAAAGGCCGCACTGGAAGCACTACAGCTAACTGCTGCTGCTGCATTTCATACCAATAAATTAATGAGCGTGTAA